AGCAAGCAAGCCTCCCTGTTCGCTTCAGTGCATGGCTGCCGGCCGCCATCTTGGCTGGCAGTTAATTTGCATATTGCCCTGATTAGCCAATGGGAAGGGTAGCGGATGTACGGCTAATTACCATGTTTCTCTTTTATTAGATAGGATTGTATATTCAAAGATCATTAGAAGGGGGAAAAGCTGCTCAGTCCAGAATTTGTTTCACACGTGTGCGCGCACACACACACTCACACAAACACACACGCACGTGCAGAGTCAATAAAAATAAAATAAGATGATTGGCTAGTCCAATTACTAGATGGAAAAAAAAATGGTTTTTGTACTGAGCCTTGAATTACCTGGCTTCCATCTTCTTGTGCTTTTCGGATCATGTTTTGTCGTGAATCAATCCAATACAGTTGTTTGTCCAGTGGGTCATAGTCAATGGCCCGGACGTTCCGAAGGCTGTGGATAGGAAGGATGATGTCGGGACTCTGCTGTTCATCAATTACCATGCGGTTGATGGCGCTCTTCTGACTGAAGAGCAGGAAAGTAGTTGGAGCTTCAAGAAAGAAAAGAGCAAATCTGAAACACAGACTAAGTCCTGTATCACTTAAAGATTTGATCAGCCTGTAGCTATATCTCAAACAAAACACACATAAATGTTGAAGAGGTAAGACTGAGGACAAAATCCTTTGGTATCTCCCCAGAAACCCTCTTCAAAGTGACTCTAATCAGCATTCTTGTTCCCAAACCAGTTATAATTTACTCAATGACATAGCCACCTAGCCATTTTTTTCCTATTTTGTCCACAGTGGAATCATAAGAGACTTGAGTTCAGTGAAGCATTTGACAAAGATATAAAAGTCCACACTTGACTTAGAAGATTTAGAACATATTCCAATGTTCCCTGTTGCGCTCTCCATTATCTGGAGTCCATCACATATTGATTTAACAACTTTTAACAATTTTAGTAGAACCTGTGTCTTAAATAGTAAGAACACAAGCTGCAACAGAGTAGCTCACAAGTCTCGCATCCTTTTTAATTTAAAGAATTGTGTTTTGGCGGTACTACTTTCTTGTAAAGCAAGAAAAAAAAAGCTCTAAATTGTAAATTTCCAACACAATAAGCATCACCTATACTAAGACATACATTGAGACTTAGAAGAAAGACCCCATAATTTTAGTTGCCAACTTTTCCTGACTGGGAAACAATATCAAATATATACTTGGCTCCTAGTATATTTTACTGAGTACTATTTCTTTTGAATCAAGTTTTAGCCTTCAATAAGATTCTACAATTAGGTGTTCTAGAAATGTGAATTAAGACAAAGCCAAACATGGCTCCAAATAAATGCTTGTTTCAAAAAGTCTAAAGTTAACATTAGCAATTATAATTAACTGGCTTAATATTTCTAAAAGAAAGCTGACGTTTTCACTTACAAGTCTTTCAGTGCTTAAAGTAACAAAGAATATGCAATTTTGTAAACCTAAATCCATACTAATTTATGCAACCTCTAACCACCTCATCTCCTGGGGAATAGTGCTTTAAAAATTATCCTCTCAGGCTGTCTGAGTTTTACATTCCCACAATGAAAAGAGCCAACATGCAGAAGTTGAAGGATGAGGTGTAAGCAGAAGGGAGCTTTTTAGTTCTCTGTTGAAGGCACAAGTGTTCACCTGTAGTTTAAAGGGAGGCATTGCTCTTGTTTGAAGACAGCGTAATCTACAAGGCCCAGCTCACCACGTCTGACTGTGCCATTTGTGCACTGTGCCCAAGGCATGGAGTTGGGACTGAAGTCCAATCCATACTTCACCATCCAAGCCATGCAGTGGCACAGCTCCATCTGCCCAGAGGAAACACCTTTCCCCAATTTGCACAAAGTTGCCATAAAAGCCAGCCACTTTAGTACTGAACAAGGGATTACACAATTTGGTTTCCTGTTTCCTCTGACCTAATCTACTTATTCATTCTGTTCCAACAACACTGGCCTCCTAGGTGTTCCTCTAACATGTCAAACATGTTCTCCCCTTGGTCCTTTGCATTTGCTGCCCCTTTTTTGTTTGATAGGTTTTACCCCAGATATCCACATAGCTCATTTCCTCATCTCCTTCAGGTCATGACATAATGTCACTTTTTCAGTAGTGACTTCTCTAATCACCCTATTTAACTTTGCAATCCTCCTCTCCATCCTTTCTCCATATTTTTCAAAAACATGTATCTCCATCTAACCCATGATAAAGATTACTTAATTGGTTCGTTATCTGTCCAACCTCATCTCTCTTCTCTGAGCTCTGGGATCTTCTCCCAACTTATTTCGTTTTTCTACTGCAATACCCCATAGAAATATCAATATAAACCTGCCTAAAATTAATTTTATTTCCTTCTGAAAACTAACTTTCCTCTTCATATTTCCTCATCTACTATCTACTTAACTGATCAAACCATGAATCAAATAATCACTGTTACCTCCCTTTACTTCTCCCCCACATACAACCCATTAACAAGGTCTATTCATTCTAGTTTCAAAATACACCTTAATTCCATCAGCTTCTCTCCATCTCCACTGCCACCACCCCAGTCCAAGTCTTCCAGCATTACCACACTAGTCTAAATAACTTTTCTCTCACTTTTTTCCCACCTTAAATCCATTCTCTACAGCAATCAATCATGTTATACCTTATTCAATTTTCACAGCAACCCAACAAAGTAGTTACTATTATTCCCATTTTACAAATGACAAAAATTAAGGTTTAAAAATTTATGTGACTTGCTTTAGTAAAACACAAAACTAATGTGGCAGAGACTCCGAATCATTCAACTATAAACTTATGCTCCTTTTCAGGACTGAAGCCTTGTGTCAGAAGAGACCAAATCCTTTCCTATGTTATGTCTTGTACTTCCAGGCACAGAATAAAGTAATTTCGATAATTACATACAATATCCTATGCAGTTTGTACCGTCTACCCTAGTGAATCATATCCTACTTCTCTCCCATGAATCTACTCTTTCTGATCTAATTCTCTACTTCTTTATCCTATCTACCTATTTGTTCTTGTCTATCCACTGATATGGGTTTCCATGAATACTTGAATTATAAACTAGTTTTCTTTAAGTCAACCTGTATTGTTAAACACTATGTTTTGTTGTTGTTCGCAGTGTGTGTGTATGTGTATTTAATATGCACTACCTTATTTCATTTACAATCAGGAGATGATATAGCCAAAATAAATAAATAAATAAAAGTTGGAGTTAAGTAGCAACCACCCACTATGTTCAGAGCATGTGCTCTAGTCTCCCAGCTATGTTCTGCTGTTTCATACTGACTAAATTTACTCATATGCATTTTCTACCTGGCCTTTTATACTCAAATTTTTTTATCTTTAGCCTATTCTATGAACTTCAAAGGACAAAGTGATTGTATTTTGGAGATCCTCTTGTTGTACTATTTGTACTGCTCTTCTCTTTCTTTGTAATGAATAAATATGAATTAATTATGTATAGCAAATATGTATGACTGTCTCAATGAAGCTATGCAAATTCTACACTAAATATTTAATGCTCAAGGGTAAAAGATTTTTCTACAACATCTATTATCCCATAATATCAACTAGCTATCATCAAATAAGTAATAACAAAAACATGCATTTTTCCATCTCTAGTCCTTCCCTTTTATTAAACAAATCAATAGCTCTGGACTTCTGCAACTTTTTACTCTAGAAAGAACATGAACCGCAGTGTTTTCAAAGTCCTTTTTTCCCCTCTATTTCTAGTTTGCTTTGGAGAAATGCAGCTTACCACTACAAGTCCTGTTGTCAGCATTAAGAGAGTAGTGGGCAGGACATCCACAAACAAAACCTCCCACTGGCACAGCCAAGCAGAGGTGGGAGCAGTGCCCATTGCTGGAAGCACACTCATTCCAGCCTGCCTGCCGAGAGGAGTGAAAGACGAGGATGTCCATCACATAATCCAAATGGCCCTGTATGATGGTGCGGTTTTGGCCACTAGTTTTGTTGGCACGCTCAATGCTGCGTCGGCTCCAGTCCGTCCAGTAGATGTAATCTTGGTACTGAGTTAAGCCAAAAGGATGAGGCAAGTCATCTGCTATAACTTCACGGTTGAGTCCTATTTTCAGAAAGGCAGTAGAAAAGGGAAAAGCAGAGGGATGAATTTTCTAAGAATATGAGTCTCATTGCCCCATCCTCCAAATTTTAACATTAAAACCAACATTTGTTAGCAATTTAAAATAGAACAATTCATTTAAAAGCAATTCTAAAACCAGACCAGTCCTCTGAAATCAATCCATCTGCAGTCTGACCCCATGCCTCAAACTTATATTCTTGCTATAAATCACTGAGTTTGTTTAAACTCTTGTAAATGGTCTATTTTGATTGTGGTCTTATTTTCTCTCCAAAAGGGCCCATAATTCAATTTTTCTTCTTCATTCAATAATAAGATGGAAATGCATATACTGTATTTTACTGGTACAAAAAGTCACTTCAGGAATATCTAGGGGTTATAAATTCCATTATAAGAACAATAATTAAATTTCCACAAAATAAAGAGATATGAATCCAGGTATCTAGCCCACTGTTGTAATAATAAATAGAATAGCCGAAACCGGTTTGGCTCAGTGGATAGAGCGTCGGCCTGCAGACTGAGGGGTCCCGGGTTCGATTCCGGTCGGGGGCATGTACCTGGGTTGCGGGCACATCCCCGGTGGGAGATGTGCAGGAGGCAGCTGATCGATGTTTCTAACTCTCTATCTCTCTCCCTTCCTCTCTGTAAAAAATCAATAAAATATATTTTAAAAAAATAAATAAATAATAAATAAATAAATAAATAGAATACAATGCTAGCCAGAAGAAGAATCTAGACATTCATGTGAAATTTTATTAACAGACCATAACCAATGGTAATAGCAACCTTTCTGATTTTTGCATAGAAAGAACAATCTACTACTATCGGTTTGAACAGAAAGAAGCAGAACTTACCCAGCATATTTGAAGATTCTATTAAGTTGGTGTCCAGGTCTGTCCAGTAGAGCCTCCTTTTAGCATAATCAATAGTTAGGCCATTTGCACGCCCCACATTTGGAACTAGTGTAGTACGTTCACTTCCATCCATGGCAGCTCTGTCTATCTTAGGTTTTCCACCCCATTCAGTCCAATACATAAACCTAAATTCAAAATAATGGATATTTATAATTTCACTTTTGATTACTTGGGAGAAAGAGCTACATTGATGCATAGTTAACTAAATAATTTTAAAGAAAAATATACATTAAATCAAGGAAATTGGTAAAACAAAATCATTGCTATAATTTTTCAATTATTTTGGCACCCTCAGCTAAGTATTTTTTTCTTATATCCTAAAAAGGAAATGAGTCAGCTTTCCTTAGTTTTTCCAATGAATCTGTTCCATCCAAAACCTAGGAATTGGAAACAAACCAGTGATTTCCTTATTGCAACACTTGTATTTATAAAACTAATATTCAAGAAGATAAGAAGAATTAAAGCTCTGGTCTCCAAATCTGGTTCACTTCTAAACAATATATCTTTATGTATTTCTGAATACAACTAATTTGAGTTTTTAAATTTTTAAACTTACTTTTCGACTTCTATAATCTCTCCCCGAAAACAAGATGCAGAAGTATATAAAAAATACAAATTAATAGCTTTAAACTGAAGTCAAAAAAGAATGGAACATACTGTGTGTGTAAGATCAATGAATCACTCCTTAATATGTCATCTGGCATTGAACACTGGAACTATAATCCTTATGAAATTTTAGAATATGCTTTTGCTTTTATTTTACTTTTTCAAGTTTTTCATATTAACCTTACAGCAGCTCCACAGTACTATATGGGCTTTTTCTTATGAGGAGGCCAAAGCACTGAAAGAAATGTGAACAATTTGTCCAATGTCCTCAAGCCAGTCACATGACAGAGCTAGAACTATACCCAATTCTTTAGCCAAATGCCCTTTCAACTAAAACTAGTAAGGTGTTAGTTTCGAAACACTCTGAATACTGGGACTAGAAAAGCACTCCACATGCCAACTCTCATCACATACCTGAGCATACCTGAGGACAGACATGTACTCAGGAGCCTGTCAGCTGATGGCTGACTTGGTAGCAATGCTTTTCTGAAAAGTTGGTCTTGGGCTTTGTTTGCATCTGTACTTGTCTACTCACAGGCACGTGCACACCACAAGAGCCAGAGAGAAACAACTGTGAGAGAAATTTCACAGTTGCCAGCAGCCACATAAACTAGAGTTCTTAGTCCCAACTACTAAATTTATCTGTCTGGTAACTGAAGCTATTAAAGTAAAAGATCACCATAATCCAACCACAACATGTCAGCACAGAGAAACTGTCTTTGGTATGGCTAACTAGCTCATCATGGAATTAATGTGATTCAGGGAAACTATTTTTAATTGTAGATATGGTAAAATATTCTTGTATGTTCACATTAACTTCTGCTTTTAAAAGTAAAATTACTCTTCAAATTTTATATCTCTTAGCTGCTGGCTTTTTAAATTTTTCTAAATCATGCAGGATCATCTACTCTTGGAAAGCATCACTTTATAAATAAATAGTGGCTCAACAATCCACAAAACCAGTTAACTGTTTAATAACAAAGTTTCTTCAAGCTTATAAATAATGATCAAAATAGTCCTCTTGAATGAATATTCTAAAATGGAGCTTTTTTAAATGCAGTCATTTCTTTGCACATAACATTTATTTCAGAGAATTTACTTTAATAGGTTTGGAATCTGGTATAACTTGGGAGGGGATGCAAGAAAATATAGACTTGATATCTTTATGAAGGCTGTTTATTTAGTATATAAATACAAGCAGTAATATTTAATTAATAATCCATTTCACTATTCATTCTTCATCGAATGTTCATAATGACGAAAGTAAAATTTAGCTAATAATTATTAATTCTAAATCAGTGAAATGTCAGCTAATGGTTTTAAAATAAGGCCTATCTATATAGTTTAGTCGTCAGATTCCTAATAAGAATTAAAACATCAAGAACATAACCCATGCCCTGGCCAGATGGCTCAGTTGGTTGGACATCATCCTGTGCACCAAAAAGGTTGTAGGTTCAACCCCCAGGTCACATCATTACCTCTCTCTGTCTCTCTCTGTCTCTTCCTCTCTCACACTCCTTACCTCCCTCTCTCTCTAAAGTCAAAGGAAACATATTCTTGGGTGAGGATTAACAAAGAAGAATATAACTCATGTAGTAGGCCATGTACAATGTAGTTGCAAAGAATGCATACATAAAGCTGTTTACCCTTCAGCAGGGTCCAACGCAAGAGCTCTGGGACTGTCTAGGTCTTTCCACACCAAAACTTGTCGGTGCTGCCCATCCAACTTTGATGCTTCAATTCGATTTGTTCCTGTGTCTGCCCAATACAAGTTCTTCCCAAGCCAGTCTACTGCCATGCCTTCTGGATAATCTAAGCCAAATTCCACCACATGTTCCAATGCACTGCCATTCATAAAGGCTCTGCTGATGGTCTGCAAAAATAAGATTAACAGCAAAGTCAAATGGCTTAAGTACAAAACACTTGGAAAAAGAATGTTTGATTTGGGTTTTGTTGGTTGGGAGGATCCAGAAGAGCCAGAGATACAGTTTCTTAATATATATTTCTTAATACAGTTTCTTAATACAGGAAACAAATTATATCAAGTTCTAATAAATGCAAATGTGAACTCAAGTTTTATTGCCAATTCAGGGAGAAATTTTTGAGGTTCTTAAGGACCAAAAAGTTATTCTAGTAAGACAGTGGAATGACTTTTCTTTTAAAATTTATTAACCAAGTGAAAAAAATGTGACCAGAATGTTGTAAACTCTTCACTGGTAATCAACTTTTTAAAGGTGCTTGAAAGTATGCCATGTCACTGTGTCAATCTGATAAGATTTCAATAAACTTATACCTTATAAAACACATAATACTGCCCTGGTTGGGTAGTGCAGTTGGTTGGTTGGAGTACTGTCCCGTACACCAGAAGGACTTGGGTTTGATTCCTGGTAAGGACACATACCTAGGTTGTGGGTTCGATCCCCGATCAGGGTGCATACGGGAGGCAACCAATCGATGTTTCTCTCTCACATCGATGTTTCTTTTTTTCTCTTATTCTCCCTTCCCCTCTAAAAATCAATAAAAACCTATCCTCGGGTGAGGATTAAAATAATAATAAATAAATAAATAAATAAATAAACAAACTGCAGCTTTGAATTCCCTAAAATTTAAAACAATCTAAGTCAAACTATTAATAACAGCTGCCAGGCATTATCCTAAGTAGTTTATGTACATAAATTTTCTTAGTTAAACCTCACAATAGCCCTGCAAGATAGGGCTCGTCTCTATTTACAAGATGAGGAAACTTAGAAAATCACAGTAAAAGCCAAGATTTATATATTTATTTCACTTATTTACTCATTTAAGAGACTTTACAGAATATCATCAGAATCCTACTCTGTGTGTGGGGGGGGGCGAGGCGGGAGCAGGTGGAGAGAGGTCAATGTGGGGAAAAGGAGACAAGAAATACTTTCAATAATAAAAAATTTTTTTAAAAAAAGAATCTTACTCTGGCTCCAAAATGCCATGATTTTGCATGTTAGACAAAATTTTACTCAAATTATGTGAAACAAGCCCAAAACAATTTGGAAGAAAACATTATTCTCCAGATTTTCTGAGAACTCCTTTTTAACTCAGTATGCTTTTCAATGTTTATTCCAGGAAAAAGAAACTAAAGTTGTGCTATAACTCATAACTGGCATTTTCTACCTCAGGTTCCAAAATTTTGTTGAAAATAAATTAAGTCTCTATATGCCATTTATGTGAAACATGCAATTGCTTACTCTCTAAAAGTCACTCATTATCTTCAAAGGGAACATAGTAGAGCAAGATTATGTCTTACAGATTTAGATGCTTAAGCAACATATCTTCTATTAAAAGGCAGTAAATTAAATACTCAATGGGCCTTTCCCTTGGCTTCCTTTAAAAGTTTAAAGTTTTACTGAACTTTGCCTATTAAGCATTGAGGGAGATTGATCGATCACAGAATGAAGACTCAGAAATTCTATCAACTCTCCTTTTTAGTCCTGTTTTAACATTCCACTTCTTTTGCTAACCTTGAGTGATATATCAGTCCAGTAAATTCGGTTGTCTGTCACATCAAAATCCAAAGCAGAAGCTTCTTTGACACCAGTGAGTGGAATGGCCACATTATTATTGTTAGTTTCCAAAGAAATTCGCCTGATATCTGCTCTCCGAGAAAACAAAAGGAAAGCCTCTGGGACAATGCAGGTCTTCATGTCACTGATGAGTTCAAAGCCAATGGGACAGGCACAGCGAAGGCCCTGAGGTCTATAGAGGCAAAGATGGCTACATCCCCCATTTTCATCAGCACAGGGGTTGGAACCTAAAAGATAAATTAATTATAAAAGGGCACAGAAGGACACACACATTGACACAATCAACACATTGTTACTTTAAAATGACTGAGCTTTTGGTTCGCAGAGACTTATGATTATATCTGCTCCCAAATCTAGAGTTTTAATTCTAATCTCACCAACAAGCACTATGAGCACAGACAGTGAATAAAAGGCCTAGTGCAGTGTTGCAAACTGTGGCCCCAGCTATTGGGTAGGCCAAGCCAGGAGAATCACTAGAGACCAGGAGTTCTTAGCTGTAGCATATTGAAGTACAGTATATGCTATGCCATTCAAGTGTCTGCACAAAGTTGGCATCAATGTGGTGACCTTCCAGGAGTGAGGGCCTGAGGAGGGGTGAACTGGCCAAGGTCGGAAATGGAGCAGTTCAAACAAAACTCACTTGCTAATCAATTGGGAATTAAAGTATTGCAAAATGCTTTCCTCTGTACCCACAGTAAGCTTACAATAATAAGCTACATTATTCATACAATAGGATTGAATTCTTTTGATGGTGTGTGTGTGTGTGTGTGTGTGTGTGTGTATGAGCACCCTTCAATTCAAACTATGTGACCAGAGTAGTAAGTCAACATTTAAAAAAACCTTTCCTGGTTAAAAAAAAAAAAAGGGGGGGGGGGGGAAGGGGCGGTTTAAGGTTTTACTGATTTCTATATTTCCTCAAAACATCAACAATTCACAATGCTGCTTTACAAACTGCTACCTATCTCCATCTTTATTCATTTCTGGCATCCACCTCTAAGAGAACTTGGGAATAACTTACCAATGATTCGATGAACATTTGTGGCCTTTAGGCCCATGAGGTCAGGGAGCTGATCTATGATGATTTCCCTCTCTGCACTCCGTTTGTGTACTCTTTCGATGCTCCGCCTCTGCCAGTCAGTCCAGTAAACATAGTCACCCAACAAAGTAAACCCAAAAATGTGAGGAATTTTGTCTTCCACTAGTACTCGTCTCCCAGTGCCATCAGTATTCATAACCTTCAAGTGAAGGGAAAAAGATGTATACTTATTCTTCAAATGTATGTAAAAATGACCAATATAACTTTCTGTTACATCAAAATCCAAGTGTCATCTTATTTATCCTTATTACAATGCTTTCACAAAATGACAAAATGCTGTTTAATGAGGGTGGTTTCAAATATTCAATATAAGCTCATATTTTATCTCTATTTCTCCAATCTCTTATTACCCTTCCTTCTAAAAAATTTGGCAATATTAGCTCTTCTGTTAAATGATTATGTAAAAATTAAAAATACTATATCATCACTTTAAGTTTGCTTGTACCTTGTTTTCAAATTATAATGTACCTTCCCATACATTATCTTATTGCATACTAGAGGCCCAATGCATGAAATTCGTGCAAGAGTAGGCCTTCGCAGCCCCAGCTGCCCCACACGCCCCCCCCGGCCCCGCCCACTGGTTGTTCTGGAAGGTCGTTCCGGAAGGTCGTTCCGCCGTCCAGTTTAATTAGCATATTAGCTCTTTATTATATAGGATCTGTTTTAGAACATTTTATCCTGAGAATTTTGCCTTTTTTACATCTAAGGAAACATTCATATCAGTTCACACAACTTGAAAACAGAGCTGGAGCTGAAGTATTTTTTAGGACTCCACTTAGTATATTTTTTATTTCATTGTTTTTACTTAAAATTAACATTATTAAATACACTCTGATACTTTCATAAATATCAGCAATTTCCCTAGAAGTAATCAAGGTGTTCTGTCTCTGATATTGCAGCAGCAGCTTCTTTCTACAAGATAGAATAAGTCTTCTAAAGCACCAACTTGCAAGTCCCTGAGATCATTTCTATTTAAAGTGATCTTATGCAAATTATCCTTCAGAAATGTTATAATGGTACTAAAAACATGTACATGTAATCAATATCTGCCCCCCAACCTGTCTACAAAAAATATCAGATACAATCTTATCTACAACGTATTAATTTTTTATCTATAAAATTAGTAAGAAATATTCCATGTAAGCAAATAATGTGATTGCCTAGATGGAATGACAACTAGATGTTCTTTATCTCTCCTCTCTAAAAATTTTAAAGCACCTGCTAACGTTCTAAGAACAGCCAAACCTTAGAAACAGATGAAGTACTTAAAAATTGAACAAAGCAAAACTGTGCTATATTTTCACTTGCAATTATCAATAAATATCTGATTTATATCTGATGAATGAGAAATTATATTAGTTGAATATTTATCTGTTCATATCAGATACAACAGAACTTATATTAAGCCAACTGTATAAATCTGTATTCATATAAATGTTTTTTTAAAGTCATTAAGCATAGCCCTGGCTGGGTGGCTCAGCTGGTTGGAGCATTGTTCCATACACTCTGGTGAGGGTACATGCCTAGGTTTCCGATTTGATCCCTGTGCTGGGGTGCATATGAGAGGCAACCAATTGATCTCTCTTTCTCTCTCTCTCCCTCTTTCTTCCCCTCCCTCCCTCCTTCTCTCTCCCTCCCTTCTTCCCCTCCCTCCCTAAAATTAGTAAAAGCACAACCTCTTGTGAGGATTAAAAAGAAAAGTCATAAATATAGTTAAAAAGAATTAAGTACTACTCTAATTCCTACATTAAATACTGTTTAAAGTTAATAATTTCTCTTTAATTTGAGACAAGAGCTTAAACTTTTTACATTTATATTTTCTTGCTATAAAGCATTCCTGGACATATTTTATGATGTCTATGTTATGATGTCAATTTGATTTTTAAGAGTAAAAGGACTAAGCAGAGAAAATGGATAGATAACTTTTTTACATATCTATCGAAAAGGTGAGCTCTAGAATAGCAGGAACCTTAATTCATCCATTTATGCACCTTCCACAACTATTAAAGGGCCTAGCAAAGAACTCAATAAATTTTTGTTAAATAATTTTTAAAAGAAGAGTGGTTTCCTAAGACACTCAAGAAACCTTCCTAAAAATGGAAACAAAAATTTCTATAACAGTTCTTATCATCAGATCCTACAGCTTAACCATTTGAATGAATGAAAGAAATTCTTGCTCAAATTATAAATCCATGTAAAAATGCATTTGACCGCCAACTTTTGGAGAAGGGATACATTCCTGGTCCCTTCTAATGGCAGTGCTCAGAGAAAGAATTTCTGGCCCCAATCTATTACTGCTTGGAAACTTTGACCAGGGTGCAAAATCTTTCCTTCATTAGACATATAATTTAGAAAATCTATTTTAGAAAAAGCTTATTTTCAAAACTCTATACTTTTGCCTCTTCATCCTAATATGGAAATCATCTCTTAACTCTAGTATCTTCCTCTACCTCGTTTACAAGAACTTTCTCCCAATACTACTTCCTTCCTTTCCAGGATCTTCAAGTTTTCCTTCTCCAGAAGGTCCTTCTTTTCTGCCTTTAACACAACACAATTTCTCCCATTTTATGAAGACTGTTTAAAAGGTGAATGATTCTGTGTTAACTGTCATATTCTTTGAATATGATCTCTAACAGCTATTTCTACCTCTTATCATTTATTCCCTTAACTCCCTACAAATCTCTTCCAATCTATGCTTCAGAATAAATAACTCTACTGAAAACAGTCAATGACTACTTCCTTGCTTTTCTCAGTTCCTGGGTTCTTTGTCTCTTTTTAACATTTGACAACCTTAACCACCCACTAAAACTCTACTCTTGACGATCATGGCACAATATGATCTTATTTCTCTTTCTATAACCAGGACTACTTTTTATGTCTTTATTTCCCTTGTTCCTCCTTCCTTTTTCAAATCTGGATGGATATTTCCCAAGATTTCTTGAGTTCTTCTTTGTCTGTAAACACCCTTAAAAAGGCCTAGCAAGTCTTATAGTTTCTGCTATTACCTCATGTAGAAAAACTACAAATATGTAAAGTTGCAGTCTAAGTCTCACCGGTTTCTCCTGCAAAATTCCCATCTCCCAGAAAATATACTGCTACCTCATCTAAATGCCACATACTTAACAGTGAACCTATGTTCTCCATTAGGAGTTCATCATTCTTATCAGAGAGCATCTAACACTGAGTGCTAAGTATTCCGTACCATAAAACTCTAAAACACTACTTTTTTACAAGTTTATGGTACATAAAACATATCTGATTTAATGTATTCCTAGTTTCATTCAGTATTATCTTAAATCAATTAATATGCATTATCTTTCATTTAATAAATTAATACTGCTTAATAAAATAATATTGCTTTACTGTACCCAAATATTGGCCTTCCAATTAAGATGCCTAATCCTGAATTAGATGCTTTATGCTGAACTTTTTAAAAATAAAAAGTAAATTTCTACTTCAAAAATATTACAGGACCAACCAACTCTTCTCTTTTAGCTACATCATCCTACAACATTTTTGTTAGTTCATTCTGATAAAAGAACAACTTAAACATAAGATTACTGATTAAGTATGAGTTTGGAGAATGAGCAAAAAATAAAATTGAAAATCACAGAGAGAAAAAGAACAAAAGCACAATCCCAAAAGATCTTTTTAGTTTACTTAACTAAGCATCTTCTATTTAGTAGTTACCGTTCATTCCTCTGCTCTAAAAAGAAACCTCTCATGATTAGCAAACGATATTCTGACAGAATCAGATAGATTTGGATTTCAAATATAAGCTCTAAACTCACTGGGTACCTTTACCCAGTTTCTCACATGTAAAACAGAATAGAATTAGTTAAAGATTCAAGAAATATAGCACAATACCAGATATGTACTAGATGCTCAGTAAATGCTGGTTCTTGCCTTTTAAAATTATTTTAGAGAAATGTTTTATTCAGTCCTTAAAAGTAAACAGCTATATTTAAATGGCTACATATAATTTATAAAATATAATGCTTCAAAACAAAAATTAATATCCTATATAATAAAAGCCTAATATGCTAAGTGTCCAGTCGTCTGGTCAGTCATTCAACCAATCAAAGTGTAATATGCTAATGATATGCTAAGGCCGCTCAACTGCTCGCTATGATGTGCACTGACCACCAGGGGGCAGACGCTCCAACTGGTAGGTTAGCTTGCTGCTGGGGTGCTGGGGTCTAGCCAATCCAGAGTGATACGGGTCGGACATGCCCTGGAGCCCTCCCAGAAGCCCTCCCCAGCTGGCCAACCTCCCGCATCCCTCCCCAGCCCCAGCAGGGTCCCTCGGCCTGGCCTGCGCCCTCTTGTAATCTGGGACCCCTCAGGGAATGTTGGAGAGCTGGTTTCGGCCCAATCCCAAATTCGTGCACTGGGCCTCTAGTATAAATATAAAAGAGTATGTGGAAATAAAAGACCAAAACACTGCACACTGTTAAACTGAAGAATGTAAGTAATACAGAGTTTTATATATTACAAGCCTCATGTTCGCTTCCAGCTGCCTGGCTGCCGGCTGCCATCTTGGCTGACAGTTAATTTGCATAAGGATATGCTGATTAGCCAATGGGAAGGGTAGCGGTCGTACGCTAATTACCATGTTTCTCTTTTATTAGTGTAGATGGCAACTAGTAGAAAACAACAGGCCCTTACTCCCATTTCTAACCCCCCATTTTTACGGTTTGCTTATGCAATAGCAACTAAAACAGTAAACAAAAAGAATAGTTGACAGTATCATCAGAGCATATGTTTGCTGCTCTACCAGACCCTCATTGCACTCCCCCACAAAAGCAAACAACATTAATAAACATATCTAATAAATTCAAATCACCATGAATGATATTATGATGAATGCTAAGAAATTTATAACAGGATTTCTTCTAGCTTAGGAATTACTATCTAGTTGTAGAGGTAAATTATATTTACATTAAAACATATATACATATACATATACATAAACCTTCTCTAGTCTATAGCTAATCAAGAGAAACTTCAGGAAGTAGTAGGAATTCAAATCCACCTTGAAGAATTCAAGGATTTTCCACAATAAGAGAAATAACACATGTCAAGACACAGAGTTAATGATGCTTTTTGCTTGACTGACTTTGAAAGAAACTCTTTGAGGCAGAAAGAATATAAAAGATACTTAAAGAAGACATCACCAGGCAGATACCAGCCTATGGTAGGTATAAAATTCCAGGATAAGGAGAGTTATAGAAAACAAGAAACTTCTGAAAGCACTTTCAGGAGAGTGACATAACAAAGCTGTATTGCAGGAAGACCTCATTTACTTCTGTCACTGTGTTCAGACTGTTTGTGCTAAAGATAAAGTATCTTAAATATAGAATTATGGTTAATAAAATATTTTCAATTCTGTGAGATGGTAAAAGAAGTCCAAAATCCTTTATCTAAGTCTTGGAGCCAGCAATATTTCAGAATTCAGCCCTTTTTTGTTTTAAGAAAGTTACCACAATGTGCATATATCCCCTCTTCCTGGGTTCAGGGCAGCAGTTCATTGTAAATATTTCTACAGAGGGAGATAAATAAAGGCTACAAATAGTCTTATATTGCTTCAGGTCAGGTTCTCCACAAACTGAATTAACAAAAATAATGTTTGGTTTTGAGAGGTTTTTGGATTTCAGAATTGCACATAACTGTAGATCAGAAATGCTTGGCTGATCTTCACTCCAGTCCCTTGACAAAACTGGGGTTTGGATCGGTGCTAATGCTATGCTAAGTGCAAGCAAGGGTCTCTGGGAAGAAGAAAAGAGCAAAGGACTTAGTAAGGTTTTTAGCAACATCTGGAAGAAAAACAACAAATGGTAATGAAGGTCTTAAGAAGATCTTCAGAATAGCACAATGGCCAAGAACTTAAATTCAACTCCCTAAATGCCATCACTTAAGGATTCTGTAGCTTTACCCACTTCAAGCATTAGTCCCTTCCAGCTATTCCTGTTCTTTCACTTTAAAAGCAAATTATAAAAGTCTTGGGGAGGGGGAGTGTTTAGGGAAAACCTAAATGAAACTCACAGGAAAGCTAGATATAGCACATCTATTTCAAATTAAAGAATGTAATTAAAATGTACTAAAGATTTTTTAAATGTAATTTTATAAGCACATTGTTTCCTTTAATTCCCTTTCTATTCTTGTCTGCTGTCCTTTTGTGTGTGTTTTTAATATATTTTCACTGATTTCAGAGAGGAAGGGGGAGGGGGAGAGAGAGAAACATCAATGATGACAGAGAATCACTGATCGGCTGCCTTCTGCACACCCCATACTGGGGATGGAGGCCGCAATCCAGGGAATGGAACTGGTGACCTACTGGTTCATAGGTTGATGCTCAACTCCTGAGCCATGCCGGCTGGGCATGTTTTTACAACAGGGTTGAGTCTAGAACAGTGCTGTCCAAGAGAAAAATAGTAATACAAGCCACAAATGTGAGTAGTGTGTGTAATTTTAAGTTTGGTGGTAGCCAGATTTTAAAACATTAAAAGGAATAGCTAAAATTAATTTTAATAATATACTTTATCAAATCCAACATATCCAAAATATATTCAGATTAGATCTCTGTCCCCTCTCACACCTGCCACTTTCAGGGTTGCCACAGGGTTGTCTTTCATTTGGTCTTTCCTTTCTCCTCAGCTATACTATACTTAATTCTAATATGGGTTAAAATTACTTTAAAAAAACACATAAACAATTTCTGATGAAAAAAAATAGCCCTAACCGGTTTCGCTCAGTGGATAGAGCGTCGGCCTGCGGACTCAAGGGTCCCAGGTTCGATTCCGGTCAAGGGCATGTACCTTTGTTGCGGGCACATACCCGGTAGGGAGTGTGCAGGAGGCAGCTGATCAATGTTTCTCTCTCATCAATGTTTCTAACTCTTTATCCCTCTCCATTCCTCTCTGTAAAAAATCAATAAAATATATTTTTTTAAAAATAAAACTCCACCTTTAAAAAAAATCTTTTATCAAATTTGCAAGTTTACATTTCAAAGCACTAGCTGAGGTTTATAAGAGCAAGGACAAAGGCCGGATTCTTTCATTTCTTTTAGGTTATCTAAAAATAGAAGTATTAAAACCATAGTTGTATCAGTAAGAGAAACCTTATCTGTCATCTCCTTGGTTCTCTCATTTAGAGCATTCTAGATTGATCATGTACTGATAATGGTTGAGGGTGGGTGGTTCATGACTCTTTACTCTGTTTTGCTATATGTCTGAAATTTTCCATAATAAAAAAAAAAGTAAAGATAAGGAGCACGTCCAAAGGAGGAGGGGTCAGCAAAGGAGGAAGAGGGGAAGGACTGTTATTAATAAATCCTATTACTTTTGATATGATGTGGAAAGCAATCTACACTAATAAAAGAGAAACATGGTAATTAGCGTACGACCGCTACCCTTCCCATTGGCTAATCAGCATATCCTTATGCAAATTAACTGTCAGCCAAGATGGCAGCCGGCAGCCATGC